TATCCATCTGTTAGTTACTTTAAGTCGTGCAGAGGCGTGCTATCCCGTGCAGAGGCGTGTTATCCCGTGGTGAGACATGTTATCCCGTGGTGAGGCATGCTATCCCGTGGTGAGACATGTTATCCTGCGCTGAGGCGTGCTATCCCGCGCTGAGGCGTGTTATCCTGTGGTGAGACATGTTATCCCGCGCTGAGGCGTGCTATCCCGTGGTGATACATGTTGTCCCGCGATGAGGCGTCTTATCCCGTGCAAAGTTGGGTTATCCAGTGCAGAAGTGTGTTGGGCTCCTCCTGTGCCAAGCAGCAATATTGGCTGTTATACCATCGAACCAAGATCAGCCCCAAATGCCTGGTGGCTTTGTCTGTCTCTGAAAGGTGCCCAAAGAGGAGCAGCCTTACATGGATTCCATGGCTCTGCTGATCCTGAAACTGGACCAGCTGGACCAGGACATCAGGAAGGTCCTGGATGACGCCTGCACTGAGCCCGCCGGCCAAGGGAGGGGGCACCCTGTGAGTGTTTACCGGGGTTACCAGGGTTATTGGTGTGATGGTGCACATCCAGATTCATGCATATATAACAAACAGTGATGGGGGAAATGGGACTCAATAAGCGGTGTGTGGAGTCATGGTGTGCTGTCTGTCACTGGTGTGAACCAATGAGAACCAGCCTTAGCAGCAGTGGGTGGGAAGTGAAACTCCCTACCTGCCTTATCCTAGGCCTGTGGCAAATGGAGAACAGTGACACCCCCTGGTCAACCCATGCCATCTCTGACCTCTGGCTGCCTGCATTCTGCTTAATAAGGACAATGGGACCGAGTGTGTATGTCCCTGTCTCCGTGTGTGTCTGTCAGCTGTGTGTGTGTGTGTGTATGCATCTGTGTTTGTGTGGTCTGGAGGGGCTTTGCGTGATAAGGCCACCAGCCACCCCCCTGTCCTTCCTGCTGTGACCCCCCTCCCCCACCCCGAGGCAAACTGACAAACATCCTGAGTGACAGTCTCCCTCATCCCCCCAGCTTGGCGCCGTTTCCTGCCAGGATGTTCTGAGAGCACCATGTTTGCGTGCTGCAGACCGTCTTGTATGCTAAACAAACGCCCAGTCCCTCTGGTGCTCACTGCAGGGTGACCAGCCCCCCTATCCGCCATGCTTCACACGTGTACCTGTCCATCCTTCTTACAGTTTCTTTATTCTTACTCAGACTGATCTGCACTCATCACTACCCACTGATTCCACTGGATAACGATTACAGGTAATCACCTCCATACTTGAGGTGCTCTCCTTTAGTTCACTGGACCGTCCCATTGGCTGTCATGCCACCTGCTGGCGCTGAAGGTCATTGCACTGGGTACAGTCCTGTGATGTAAGCTTACAGGATCAATGGGTGTTGAAAGCAGAGTAGTACAGGAACCTCACATCCGTCACGTCCAGCCAACTACTTTCCTGTGTAGGCATAGCTGTTTCCTACCATCGCCCCCTAGTGGTGGGACAGGCTCAGCGGGTACGTGCAGAAGGAGGGGGCTGGGGGTGCCTTAGTACCTGCCTATTGTTCCTGAACTATTTTATATTTACTTGTACTCATGTACTGAATGGCCATTTTAAACCTTTGAACGCCTGCACCTTCAAAAGTCTCTGCACAGCCCTGAAGCTCAGACTGTGGAATCCCCATCTGTCACCACGACAGGCTGAGAACACCCCAGAATCATATTTCCGCTGCTCTACTGTGCTGTCCAGATGGGTCCCTGTGAATAAGTGAGCATTTTTGGAGAGAACACTGTCATACTCTGTATGAACACTGTCCCCTGGCAGGGCTGTCTCACATCAGGACTGTCTCACACCAGCACTGTCCCCTGGCAGGGCTGTCTCACATCAGGACTGTCTCACACCAGCACTGTGCCCTGGCAGGGCTGTCTCACATCAGGGCTGTCTCACATCAGCACTGTCCCCTGGCAGAACTGTCTCACACCAGCACTGTCCCCTGGTAGAACTGTCCCACATCAGATCTGTTGCCCAACACAACTGTCCCACATCAGATCTGTTGCCCAGCACAACAGTCCCACATCAGATCTGTTGTCCAGCACGACTGTCCCACTTCAGGTCTGCTGCCTGGCAGCACTGTCCCATGTCAGGACTGTCTCTCAGCATGCATTAGATTACCCCCCCAGCCCCTGTCCTCCCCTAGGGCTTCCTGTCTGTCAGTAACCTTCAGTTGAGGGCCACTTTGTTGGATCCAGTGACCTTCTCAGGTCTGCTCCCGTTCAGCGATTTCACAGCACCTTGGGGTAGCTGGCTCACATGCCGAGCTCAAAGCCTGGGTTTATGGGCAAGAACAAGGTCGGCGCCATGTGACAGTCAGGGCGTAATGTCAGGGAGACACAGTGAAGATGCATGGTGATGCATGGACTTCCCCAACGCTCCTTAAGCTGGATTCTTTTAAAGACATTTTCCCGGGAATCCAGTGCCCCAAGAAATGCCCCCCCCTACATGGTTATACAGCACCATTCATGGAACGGGCCTGGAGGGACCTTCCTGGAAACCTCGAGTCAGTTTCAGGAACCCCTGGTCCTTCCATTCGATGAAATCTTCAACAGGATTATATTTGATTTCCTGATTTTAGCATTTTCACAGAGGAAGTGGGAAAACCCAGAGAGGAGTGTGGCATTCTGGGCAGTCACTCGGCTGGGGTTCAGAGCACAGGGGTCAGAGGTCACAAAGATTCTCCAATGACATGCCCAACCCCCCGAAAGCACACTTCATTAGTGGGGGGGTGAGGGGGGGGGGGGCAAGGAATGCAGCAAGAGGAAAGGGAAGCGGGGTAAAAAAAAATCAGCAGAGAGAGGGCAGGGGTGACAGGTCAGAAGGCAGGAGGCAGAGAGTCAAAGAGGCCTGCCCGGACCCAGTCAAAGAGGCCTGCCCGGACCCAGCGGCGTAGGGGGGAGGTGCGACTTTCCCACGCTGAGTGCAAGTTTATGACTCTACTTATCAGAGTCATTCCTGGGGGTTGGGCACATTATGGCGACTGTCTGAAGGTGCACCTCCCCTAACCTGCCTTTTCTTATCTGTCGCTAACACGCAAACTCTTTGTCGGAGTTAGTGGGGAGTGCGGTCGCACGGCGACGGAGCAGAACCGGCGTTTGTAGCTGGTCTGTGGGTCTGCCTGGAGACCATCCCTAAGAGAGCCGTTAAATGACGGCATGTCGGTCACCTGGCTGCTGAGGCGTGACAATACTTCCTGTGACTGTGCAGCGTTTGAGAATCCCCAGGCGGAGGAGGCGGCGCTTCGGCAAGATCTCCCATGTCTTCCCGGCACTGCCGTTTTCTGGGACGACCCGGAGGTTTGCTCTGCTCTCTGGCCTCTGCCCATCAGCTTGGGCGGCAGCAGCTGGGAATGATGTCACCATCCCCACACACCTCCAGCTTGACGGCGGCTTTTGTTCAGTGACAGTAAAGGCTTTCTCTTGTCCAACTCCTCCTCCAGAGGCTGACGTCTCCTGCGTTTTATCTGCAGGACTAAGAGGGGAGTCAAAGTGAAGAGGTGAAATCAACAGGCATGTGGGGTCCGCTTGTCACCAGGAATGCTGCTCTGACCCACGTGTGGTGTTAAGCTCATAGCCTGTAGGGATGAGGACAGGCACAGTGGTATCTCCTCATTAGGCAGCAGGAGGTGGGTTAGCGTTGGGGTAAGTGTTAACATTATGGCTGGGATTAGCATCATTGTTAGCATTAAGATTAAGATTAGAGTTAGCATTAGCATTATGATTAAGTTTAGGGTTAGCATTAGCGCTATGATTAAGATTATGGTTAGCATTAACTTTATAATTAGGACTAGGGTTAGCATAAACATTATTATTTTCATTACCATTAGGGTTATGCACCAAAAAGCTTGAGCATGTGTTAACATGGCCTGAACACCTAAGCATAACTTCCAGCCATAAAGGAGGGTAAAAGTTAGTCGGCTACAAACAAACACTGCGTGTAAATCGACACAAAGGCACCGGACAGAAGAAAATGTCAGCGTCCTGTCCAACAGTGATCCTGGCACCGCACCTCTGACCCACAAGTCTGATCGTCTGTGTTTGGGAAATGCTATTTTCGCAGCCACAGAAGACAGGGTGTTACTCAAACACAAATACCTCGTTAGTCGGGCAAAGTTTAGGACAGACGTGCAATCAGCCTGTAAGTGCGTGACTCTGGAGGCGCCGGAGTTAAAGTCGAGTGCAAGACGGAGGCTGTTTGTGGGGCTCGGGCTGCTCTGTGGTCCCATGTTCTGTGTAAACTGGGGACGGCGTCATACTGTGCTGATGAAAAGGACGTCTCTCCACGTCCCTGCAGGAACGCGCCACCCTTACAACACACAGCGGGCCATGTGTTGCTCACAGCCACACATCCCACAATGCACCCTTCTCACAGATAAATATACATGTATATAAGATGTAGGACATTCCAGGAAGCAGACACTGCGGCCTCATGGTGCTGTGTGGTCTTCAGCAAGACCTCTGCCCCCCTCCAGCAACACTGCTCCCCAGATGTGTTACTGAAAGAGCTCTTTTAATGTTGGGAGGAGGGGGGTGGCAGGCCGGACAGCTCACGCTGCCCTTCTTTGGCATATCCAGGCATTTTGGATCTATAAGCATTGGGTGTTGTGGGGCATGGCCCTGCTGTTGTATTGCTGTGTAACTGTGCAGCAGGTTGGCTGTGTAACTGCGCAGCTGTGTAACTGTGTAATTGTGTAACTGTGCAGCAGGTCAGCTGCTTAACAGTGTAGCTGTGTAACTGTGTAGCTGTACCCTGACTGGCCACCAGTCAGGCAGCCAGCTGATCACTTTACTCACAGCTGAGCTGAACACAACATGCTTGTAGCCCTCCACGCCATAACACAGCAGCTCTTCAGCTGGGCCTGGGTGTTCCTGGGTGTCCCTCTAATCAGTTCCTGCGCTCGTGGATTAAAACAAGGTCAAAGGTCAGTATCAGGAGGATGAAAGAAAGAATGAAGAAGGATAGAGGGAGTCCTGCATTCCAAGCCCTGCAGAGGAGCACACCTCCCGCTGAGCCAGGCCGCCTGGACATGCATGTGGACCCCACCTCTGTACACAGCATACTTTGCTTTGACGTGGAAAGTACATATTTATCATGAGACGCGAGGCGTGTTTCGCCCTCTGCAAGGAATTTCAAACTTGAGACGTTTCCACACAAGAAAGGAATGTTCTAGAAAGTGCTCTGTCCCGGGTGGAGCGCGCCGTCCAAGAGGCAACTCGTCTCTCACACGGGCCGACCCTACGCCTGCATCCTGCCGAGCTTTTTTTTTATTGGGGGGGGGGGGGGGGATGCTGTTTCCAGAAGGATGCTCGCATGCCGCCCACAGTCTTGCATTCCCCGACAGAGTGATGCTCTTACGCTCCTCTGCCTTTCAGTTCCTGTGTGAGCGGGGCTCTGATCTCACGGAGGTGATTGTGTATGGAGCAGGGACCAGGAGGACCAGGGTCTGTGCACTGTGCCGAGAATTTCTGAAAGTACAGTCATGCTGCTTTTAAGATATCAAAGTGATTACAGCATATTAGATCTACTGTGAGTGTGTTAGTGGACTGCGTCATGGGGGGGGGATCAGCACGCTTTGTGACCTGTCACTCTGTCCCCTGTCTTTCAGGTGTCACGAGCCCCAGTGAGGAAGGGCAGAGCAGGTAAGCATGGGTGTCACCTGAAGATGACTGTGACCTGGCTTATCAGATGAAGTTTATTCCAGTGCACATATTGGACTGCACTGCACAGAGTGCCTGCATGTCAGTGTGTCAGATTGTGATGACTGCGCAGTGTGTTTGAGTGATTGTGTCAGACTGCACTGACTGTGCAGTGTTCGCACGACAGCGCAACAGACTGCACTGACTGCGTAAAAGCGCGTCGAATGTGAAGGAGAACTGACTGCGCAGTGCGTCTGTACAGTTTGTGGGTGTGTTCTCAGTCTGCTGTGGCTCTCTATCTGGAGGCTTGAATGTGTCTGTAAAATCTTTTACCTGGCTGCCTGTTTCCTTGACTCTTACACCCTCTGCAATACAGTTTGTAATCGATTTTGCTTGAGCTGCTTGGGGGGGGGGGGGGGGACAGGACACCGCTGTGATGCAGATGAAAGTGAGGCATAGGGCCATCTGGCTAACGAGAGGCCAGTTGCCTGTGGGGGGGTCATTAGGCTGACACGGGGGTGCGTGCCCGCTGGGGCCCATGTTCCTGTCCGCATTCATGCCTGTAACGACACCCATCTATTTATGGGGGTCACTATCAGTGTGGCCACAGTGACATGTTTCCCTCCTGTCTCCATGGAAACGACCTGAACTGCAGCACAGGGTGCGATTCTGGCTTGTCCCTGTCCCTGGGTCATTGTGACTGGTTCTGCACACACTCTGCTTTGTTTACCTGCTGGCTGGCACCTAACAGCAGGGCTTTTTAAATAGTACTGCGTGAGTATATAAACATCAGTCAGGAAAGGTGGCTTTACAGAGGCCACTAGGAGGCGCCGCGGCCTGACCGCGGCTCCCCCTGGCTGCCGGGGCCCCGTGGGGCCGGCAGGACAGGGAAACCGCAGGCCTCCCATCTACTCCGCTTCTGTGGACCATTTGCTTTCTGTGTGTTTGAGATTTTTGACTCTGCCCTCCCAACACTCATTCTCTTTCTAAGGAAGACCGGCTGTCTCCCAAGGTGCAGTGACTCGTGTGGTGCCTCACACGGTGCCTCATCCAGTGCTTTGTGCAGTGTCTTGCAGCGGCTGCATTTTCTCTGAATCAGAGGGACACTCAGCTATTTTTACCTCCGGCTGGCTGAGACTTTTTGCCCCAGCTGGCTGACTCGCGCCGCTGGGTCACGAGGGGGACACGCCCCTTCAGAGAAATGTAGCCTCATCAGGTGGCCTGGCGTGACCTTGCACTCAGAGAGGATGGGAGGGCTTGCAGTGCAATCTGATGCAGGACCCACAGTAAACACAGTAAAAAGCTGTTGCAGGTGGGCAGAGTGTGTGCAGGGCCCTGGACTCACATGGTGTGTATGTACCCTGAACAAGGAGCACATTATACACACAGACAGAACAGGGAAGAGCACCCTCTACCTCTCAAAGACGTAGCCTTGGGTCAGGTGAACAACACCTATGCACTGACCCTGTTTCACAACCCAGCTTTGTAAAACTGACTTTGGCTGATTTGAGATCTGTGCTTATGACCATCCTACGGTCAGGAACAGCTGAGTGCTGGCTTGGCGGCCTCTGTCCTCTGGGGGAGAAGGGGCTGTGGTCTTCCTCCCACAGCACTCCGAAGTCACGTATCAGACGAATTGGATGGACTCACATCTGAGGAATGTCTCTTAATGGATCCCTGGGAAATGGAGAGCAAACAGGCGCTGGGCCTCTCTCCCACCACCCCTGCCGCCATCACCAGCCCATCACACTGAGATTTCCCAGCATCCTCTCTGATGCCACGCCCACTATTGGCCTCACGAGGAATGGAGAGGGATGAGCAGCATCAGCGGGTTTAGATGAATTAGCATCTGTGTCTGCTGGGCCTGTCCGCAGTGTGGGGTGGCAGTGGCCAGTGCTTCAGAGCAGGTCACCGTGTCCTGTACTGTGAACACCTCCAGCTTCCCACTTCGTGGAAAGGTACGTCAGAGCTCCTCTGCATGTGGGAATGTAGGGGCGTCGGATGCCACGGCGACTCCCACCAGGTAATGAGGAGTGCTGCTTCAGGACATTCTCACAACTATCCACCCCCCCCCCCCCATCCCTCCCCTCCATTCCTGTGATGCTGCGTCACTTCCAATGTGGGGGTGGACAGACTCCTCACAGCGTATATAATACCACAGTTAAAAAGTACTAGCAAAAGTAATGAAGCTGATCATACTGCGTCATAACATAGTAGGGATCAGTGTCCTCAGTACTCTGGTCTCAGTGCTCAGTCCTAGTATTTTATAGCTGGGATCAGTGTCCTCAGTACTCGTGGGGCAGCATGTGGCTCAGTGGGCTAAGCGTCTGTGCCTGTGATCGGAAGGTTGCTGGTTTGAGCCTGACCTTGGCACACGTGTGAGTCCTTAAGCAAGGCTCTTAACCCCCAGCTCCTTGGGTGCTTCTATAGATGTCTACACTTTGTGGTCAGCTTGCTCTTACCTACAAAGAGCAAATTGGAGGAGGCAAAAAGAGAATTTCCCCAGGGGGCTCAATAAAGTATTAATTATTATTACTCAGTCCTTTTATTTTACACCAGGGATATGTTCTTAGTACTCAGTCACAATACTTTGTAACATAGATCACTGTACTCAGTACTCAGTCCTAATGTCTGAGTTGCTAATTCCTTGGCCTGGCTGAATCTTGAGAGACTCAGGTGTTGATTCACCATTGCCCTGTTTCCTTCCAAGTGGGTTGTTTATGTTATGTGTAATCTGTATGGTTCCCATGGGGCCAGGGGGCGGTGAGGGGGGGTATTTACGCCTGGGCCGGATGCTTTATGGGTGCTGGGGGCGCATGGAAGGTGTTTTTCCTCTCCTCCACTGGCTTAGCTATGGGTGGAATGCTCCGCTTACCCAAACAAAATGAAGTCAGAAAATGTGCCAGGTGGCTGATGTGTTTGTCCATAACCAGGCCGGCCAGCTGCGTTTCGGGGTGGGGGGGTCAGCCCAGGGGACCAGCCTCTTGTCCTGTATTTCCTGGACTGCAGCAGCAATGTGGGATGGATGGATGGATGGGGGATTAACTTTCCCCCCGTCATTAGTTCTCCACAGCCTGCTGCCACTATGCATGACAAGCTGTGTGTTTACGCCCCCCCCCCCCAACTTATCTGTCCAGCTTGTGTTTGTACACTGCCCCTGTACAGAGCTAGAATACTTCTGGGTGTCTGACTGCCCCTTGGGCCTGCTCTGGGGGTGGTCTGGGACCAGGAAAAGGGGCAGTGGGGAGGTGAATTCCCCCCACCCTCAGAAAAGCACACTCAGAGACCCCCAACTGGACAGAGCTTCCTAATGGACCATTTAGTCCCAGAACTGCACAGTGAGCATCTCATTGTAGTAAAAGGGCAATACCAGGAGCCTGGGGGACATGGTGGTCTTATGCTGCATGCTGAAATGCAATGTATGGACGGTGTATTCGCAGGGGAGTGCTTAGCCTTGAAGAGCAAAGAATAGCTGCATAGATAAGCAGTTTAGATAAGCTGTACAAACATGAGCGATTTGAGCGCACTTGTGGCCTCACAGAAACATAATGAGCTGCTGGCCTAGGCTAGTGTCCACATGGGGCCTTCCAGAGCACCCTGAGCAGCGGTACGTGTGAAAATGGGTTAGTTTTAGCGTGGGGCCTTCCAGGGCGTCCGAAGCACCTGCCTGTTTTAAAATGAGTTAGGGTTAGCGTGGGGCTTTCCAGGGCGTCTGGAGTATCTGCCTGTTTTTAAATGGGTTAGGGTTAGGGTTGGGCCTTCCAGGGCATCCACATCAGGTGCCTATTTTAAAATGGAATAGGGTTAGTGTGGGAACCAGAATGCCTGCATGTTTTAAAATGGATTACAGTTAGTATGTCTGAATGCGTGAACCATAACCATACTACCTGAGTTACCTTAATTGGAGTAACGTTTCCGTCGTTCCTGTCAGATAGTTTTTCACTTTTTTTGGCTCGTGAGACTGTAGAACTGGAGTGGTCAACACTTGCATATAGCATTAGTACAGAGTTGAAATAAATATGATTATTTAAACTAATCATACCAGGAATAATTAGTCATTCAGACTGGACATTTTGATTCTGTGTCATTTATTAAATAGTACGATAAAAATTACGGCCGGTGTAATCAGCTGGGTCGAATAGCTAGTACACGCAAGTACACATCTGTCTCAATCCACTGTGTTTTCTGTCCTCGTGATCTTGCCATTCTTGGTAGGCAAGTTTGCAAGACCAGTTTTGCTAAGACCACAAGTATGATCATTGCGTTTTTGGTATTGAGATTGACCCTATGGGACCTTCCCGGACATGCGGAGCACCTACCTGTTTTAAAATGGGTTAGGGTTAGTGTGAGGCCTTCGGGGACGTCCGCATAACGTGCCAGTTTTAAAATGGGTTAGGGTTAGCACGGGGCCTTCCAGGGCATCTGTAACGCTTGCCTGTTTTAAAATGGGTTAGGGTTAGTGTGGGACCTTCTGGGACGTCCGCATAGCGTGCCTGTTTTAAAATGGGTCATGGTTAGAATGGGGCCTTCTGGGACGTCCGGATTGAGGTGCCTTTACTTGAACAGCTCATGTCCTCCTCCGGGGTGTACAGGTCCTGCAGTATTGCGATGGGTCGTTGGGGGGGACCTCCAGTGCACTCCCCCCCCCCCCCCCCCCCCCCCCCCCCCCCACCCCCCCTTAGAGGATGGCATTCTACGCGTCACTGAAGGTCCCTGTGAGCAGGGAGCCGCAGAGCCTGTGACATTCAGACAAAGAGATCAGTGAGATTGCTGGTACCCTCAGGCCCCCAGCCTGTGCTTAGCTGCAGTGCCTTTAAGACAGACATGTAGACTGACCCCCTCCCCACCCATGCAACAGGGGGGGGTTTAAGGCTGAGACACAGATAATTTCACAGGGGTCGTTACGCGGTTGGAGTGCGCGGCTCGGACACGGTCCCCTCACACAGGAAACAAACAAATTAGATGCTGGGTCTGCATTTGGACAGGAAGTGGGCGGGCAGGGC